AATATCTGTCTATCTATTTTGTTATTGTTCATTTGTTAAGTTACTTTGCATGTAATGTTTTTGATAAAAGAAGTGAAGACGACACGTAGTACTCAATACTCATTTTCCTTTACTGAATCATTAATGTTTAGCAAAAATACTTTATTAGAAATTCTGTTTTTTTTTCTGTACGAAAGACTTATAATGTTTACCGAAAGCTTGCCAAATTTCATGAAGACACATAAATTGTATTGTATCGTATGATGTATTGATACAATCGTATCACGGCTTCACGATAGGATACTCGGGTATCTCACTATCAGTCGATACTGGTAATATGAAAGAAATGGAATATCGTCAAAATTAATTATTCATTTTGCATACCATCATAAATTCAGACATCACCAGTAATAGGAAAAAATTTCATTTTCAAAAGTAAGTAATTCATTTCCTGATATTCATATCCAATGGTAGGTCGAATAAAAAACACAAACAGAGTAATTGGTGCCTCTCTATAAAATTTCTTTTTCAGTTAATGGCAGGTCCCGAGAAGTTTTGCAACAAATTATTTTTAGATCTTTACGATATATAAAATTGAGTCCACAATTAGGAACAAAATAAACTACAACCTATTTTCATACAAATTCTACTTGGTCTTTAGAGTCACTAAATATAATACAAGCAGCATATCACATACCCCTGGTACTACTCCCTCATATCTATATACTTTAACACTGCCTTTCTTCAGAGCTGGATCTACCAAAAGTTTATAGTTGCGCTTTTTTCTCTCTCCGCCAGAAAACTCTGGCGGTAAAGGCCGGATTCCGTTCATTGCTGCACCAACATAGAAAAAAAAAGGTACATCAATAAACAATAAAACACGTAGATAAAACAACTTACCAAAACAAATATATGTATATATATATAATTACAATTCAAGAAAATGACAAAATATTCACGAGTTTAACAGTATTTTGTTTAAAATAATATTTACTAAAGGCGTGGCGATACAGCAATATGATAGGCTATCGGTCAGTACTGGTAATACTTGGCTATTGGTTGATACTGGTAATACTTATATCTGGCTATCGGTCAATACTGGTAATACTTATATCAGGCTATCATTCAATACTGGTAATACTTATATCTGGTTATTGGTCAATACTGGTAATACTTGTATCTGGCTATTGCTCGATACTGGTAATACTTATATCTGGCTATCAATCAATACTGGTAATACTTGTATCTCCCTATCAGTCGATACTGGTAATACTTGTATCTGAAAATACCTTGAATTTCATTTTATTTTAACAGGTGAATCTTCTTTTCCTTGAGAATTTTGCTCTAATAACTACCAACGTACGTATGTTTACATCAGGACGTACGTTAACATCAAGTGGAGCTTACAAAAGTTGTTTACACCTCCTAGTTTTAAAGTAATGATGACTCAAAAACAGGGATGTACTGACATCTTTTTTGATTGACAGCAGATACTTATATCAAGCTATCAATCAGTATTGGTAATACTTATATCTGGCTATTGGTCAATACTGGTAATACTTATATCCGGCTATCATTCAATACTAGTAATACTTATATCTGGCCATCAGGCAATACTAATATCTGGCTATTGGTTGATACTGGTAATACTTATATCTGGCTATCGGTCAATACTGGTAATACTTATATCTGGTTATTGGTCAATACTGGTAATACTTATATCTGGCCATTAGGCAATACTAATATCTGGCTATCGGTCAATACTGGTAATACTTATATCTGGTTATTGGTCAATACTGGTAATACTTGTACCTGGCTATCAGTCAATACTGGTAATACTTATATCTGGTTATTGGTCAATACTGGTAATACTTGTACCTGGCTATCAGTCAATACTGGTAATACTTATATCTGGTTATTGGTCAATACTGGTAATACTTGTATCTGGCCATTAGGCAATACTAATATCTTGCTATAAGAAAAACAATGAAAGTCTGTCTTATACCACTTTTAGCTTATCTTTAATTTCCTGTAGATACTATTGTTTTTAAGCATAAGAATAAGAATCAAATGTGTAAATATGAACTTGGTTGTGAAAGATATTAAATATAGGCTTTGTAAGTCCAGATTCAAACTTACACTTTGACATAGCCATGTTATGTTTAAAAAATATGATGTTGGTGGCTACATTTGATTTTGTTTTACAGTAGAATCCCCCTCATTAAAGGGCACCCCGATATAATACATTCAATTAATATTTTGTAGTGTAGTTCAACAGTCTTGCTGGTTTTTCTTTAAAAGAATTGTCCTTGTCACATTTGATTTTGTGAGAAACATGTTTAGTGACGTGAACAAAGCATGGTGCTTCCTCGAGGGCAGTCCAGTATATAAACATAAAAGTGATTCGAACACAGCCTATTTATCTTCTTAAAACAGTGTGTGTAGACTTGAGTTTTCACAATTTAATTAATATTTTTATTGTACATGATGTAAATGCAAGTCATTTACTGTTAGAAATAAACTGGATCAAATTAAAAATGGCAAGCAGCAAATTCAGCTTGCTCATAACCTTGGGATTAGTGTTTCCACACTACGAGGTTGAAAAGAAGAAGAAGAAAAACTTCACACCCTACCCTGTGTTTTAGAAGAAAAACTTCGCACCCTACTCTGTGTTTTAGAAGAAAACTTCGCACCCTACCCTGTGTTTTACAAGAAAAACTTTGCACCCTACCCTGTGTTTTACAAGAAAAACTTCGCACCCTACTCTGTGTTTTAGAAGAAAAACTTCACACCCTACCCTGTGTTTTACAAGAAAAACTTCACACCCTACTCTGTGTTTTAGAAAAAAACTTCGCACCCTACTCTGTGTTTTAGAAGAAAAACTTTGCACCCTACTCTGTGTTTTAGAAGAAAAACTTTGCACCCTACCCTGTGTTTTACAAAAAACTTTGCACCCTACCTGTGTTTTACAAGAAAAACTTTGCACCCTACCCTGTGTTTTACAAGAAAAACTTAGCACCCTACCCTGTGTTTTAGAAGAAAAACTTCGCCCCTACTCTGTGTTTTAGAAGAAAAACTCCATACCCTACCCTGTGTTTTAGAAGAAGCATCTGGTCTTTAACATAAGAAGTTAAAAATGGTCACTGACAAAACTCCAGATTTTGCTTTGTACCAATGGTTGTTCAAGCCTGCTCAGAAGGACTTCCCATTTCTGGCACGTTTCTTAAATCACTAGCTCAGAAGTTTGATCTTAACATCAATGGAGAAAGCCAGAAATTCTGGTTGGATAGGTTCAAAAAGCGACATGCCGTCAGCCAAGATCTTGTATCCGGAGAATTTCACTCAGCAGATAACTAATAAACACAATCATGTGATAATTTTGACATGTGGTAGTTTATGACTGGGACATAAGATGAAAAAGAAAAAAGACCACAAGTGGTTGATTCAGTAATATGTTTTTGTTGTATGCGAATGAGGTTGTAAAGAATTAATTGGACATATACATATGTAAAAGGTTTGAGTATGATCGTTCTTGTAACATGTCGAGTTAAAATTTGATATTGAAAGTTGTCCAAAATAGCTCAGAATGCATCTGAGAGTATGTAAACCCCCAGAGATTTTGGGGGCTGCCTACACTCCTAAACCCCTGGCCAATAGATGTGTTACATGCAAAATTATCACTCAATTTTGCATGTTTATATTCTTGAATTTGTTTAGATATGTCTGTCTGAAAGTTTCTGCTATGATAGGAAATCAGTTAAGCTGAGTTAGGGTTAGAGAATTAGGCTTAGCGACAACACATATTTCAGTGACTCGGATCCTCAGTTATTGAAGAGAAACCGTATTTATTAAGTATATGAAATGGAACTGTCTGATCAACAGTAAAACAAAATTGAAATTTTAAGACAAAATGAAACATTTTTAGTGTGTGTTTTCTCGAAATATTGTCTTACAACAAGGTTTTTGGAACTTTACAGCCAATAAAGTGATAGAAATACTGAATCAAATTATATAAGATTTTTTAAGCCAAAACTAAGTACTATTTAGTAAGTTTGTACTAAGTTTCATGCAATTTGATCAAGTATTTATACTGTAAGAATGGAAAAAAGTTGGGTGATATCACTCCACCACGCCAAAAATGGTTAATACATATTTTTTCTCTGATTTTAGCAAGAAGGTCTTCCTCCAGTTCAGGTTTGGGACCCTCGTTCTCGATTGGCAATGCTATGGGCCAAACCCGAGGTTGCTGACTTGCCAGTTCCAAAATTCAAGGTATTTTAATAGTTGCTTAGTTTAAATTTAGCTTGTTTCTTTGTATTTATTTAAACTTTAGGAGACTTATGTTTTGATGTTTTCTTTTTGTGTGAAAATCAAAAATCAGTAAATTCTAAGATAAATTACTTTATTATGTAAGCTTAAGTAAAGGAGGAATACTTTTTTTTTGGAGGGTTTTTCCATACATTTATGAACTTTAGGTCACTGTTATGGTATGTGACAACTATGCTGTATCGTACAGTGTTGCAAAAACACTAATTAACTCATTAAAATTTATTTATTTTTACCTGAAAACGGAAAAAAATGTGTTTAGGTTCGAACACCCTACCTTAGTACACCCCTCATGCATTTTCAATCTTATTTTCAGACATGAGATGCCAACAAAATTGGAGTCGTTTTTCAACCAAAATTTATCAGTATGGAATCTATGTATTGTAAATAGAATAAAAAAATATCATTCTGTTTGTGAAAAAACGTATGTAATCCAAGTTATTTTAGAAAATAGGATTCTTCACATCATGTGAGCATTAAAAACACTATTGATACTATGCTTTCAGTTAATTTTAACACATAGTCCGAGTTGTTTTAGAAAATAGGATTCTTCACATCATGTGAGCATTAAAAACACTATTGATACTATGCTTTCAGTTAATTTTAAC